TTACTTGGCTTTACCCACAAATTTCCCGTCTCCCAGACTCAGGAGTACCAGAACCTCGTCCCTAGCTCCTGAGCCCTGCCTATCTGATGTGTCCAGTGTGCACAGAGATGGAGCTTTGGAGGGTGGTGTTAATGACCAGAGGACATGTGTGCTTTATTTCTGTACGGGAGCCTAGGTACTGGGCAGGTGGGGGCAGAAGCAGCTCTGTGGCCCACCCTCAGGACCACGGGCTTTTCTGAACTCTTGGCAGGTCCTTTGTTGATTACTACCCTCCCATCTCTGCAGCTGAGGCTGCTGCGTTTCAAGTTTATTGAGCTGGATGGGAGGACTGAGAACTCAGGCATACAGATTAGAATGTCAGGATTCCGAGATCTTGGGGCAGATGGGGATTAGAGGGTGAGGGAATGAGGGAGCTCTAACAAGGTTAAAGGTTACCCAGCGGCACTATAAGCTACAGCAGCAGGAAGGCAGAGCTCACAGCAGTTCTAGGAACAGTATCTGATGGGGTCTTGTTGTTGTTACTCTTGTTGTTAGTGGGTGCTGTCGAGTCAAAAATGACTGCATGTGACGGTAGAACTGTTCCTTGGGGTCTCCTTGGCTGTGATCTTTCTAAAAGCCCATCTCCAGCCCCTTCTTCTGGAGGCCACTAGATGAGTTTGAACCTCCAACCTTCCAGTTACCAGTTGAGCTCTTCCTTGCTCCTTGAGGGAGTCATAGACAACCTTGGGGAGCCCCTGGCTCGCCAGTGGAAGAGTTATGAGGAAAGCCAAGGTGATCTGGGAGCACGGGAGCAGGCAACTTGCTCGGCCCTACCTAAAGTGTTGGGCTCGGTTCTGGGACTGTGAGCCATGATGAGCTCAACCCGGGGGACGGAGAGGGAAAGGCACAAGGTGGCGCAGCCCTTCTCTGCGGCTCTCCCTTCCTGAGAGGCGTAGACACACTCCAAAGAGAAAGCTGGGTCTTGTTCTGGGGAACCCACAGGAAAGGTGGAGGTACAGGAGGAGAAGGTTTAGGTTCAATCAAAGTAACCATCTAGCCAAGCGTGAGAGGGAGGGGCTCCCTGGCACTGGAAGTACATAATCCAGACGGCCATTGTCATATTCCCATAAATAGAGTTTTCATTACATTGAACAATGGTGTATGACAGAACCTCCGAAGTCCTCTCTACACTGAGAGTCTAAGATTCCATCATAAATTACTGCCTTTCATAGTAGAACAACAGACACAATCGTCATTAACGAGTTTGCTATTCATCCATGACGGTAATGGGCCTGCATCCCGACATTTGCTTGGTTGTCAGACATCGCACAAACCCAGTTTCTGCCACTCACTCACTGTTGACCTTGGGCCAAGTCCTTTCAATTCAATAGAGACCATCTCAGGAGACTGCCATCTCCCTTAGTCAAATCCGGTACAGACTCTGGGAGGGTGGCAGTGGAAGGGATATCTCTGTATCCGGCCACTCAACTTTGGTTCCTAGAGAGGTGGCCTTCCTCAGGGTGACTCTCACTAGTGCTCACTGCCTCCACCACAGAGGCCTCCGGGGACCCTGCTCTCCCCTTTCACACTCCTGCCCACCTGTGGACCCAGTGGCCATGGAGCAAAGCTTCCTGAAGCTAAGACTTCCTCATCGAGCCTCAGAGAGATGCATGTGTCTGCAAGTCCCATTCTCCTCGTCCTTCCTGCTTCCATGTGGGGATCACCATCTCCCTGTAACTCACAGGAGTCCAGGCCATCGCCTGATTCAAAGGCCAGGCAAGAGAGCAAGGCCAAAGGGAATCGGGTGTTCGTCCCCAACCTGCCTTCCACACCCCTGGATCCTGTTAAAGTGCCCCTTCTTCCTAGTGACTGATCCTGGCAATCCTCACCCCTTAACCTCAGGGGCATGACTTTACCCTGGGCCTCAACAGGACAAGTCTGTCAGAACCCAACATCCTGAACTCAGTTAGTTCTTTGATGATATACACTCAGTGGGATCTACCCTAAAGTCAAACAGATTTGCAAAGACATCCTCAAACTACTTAGTGTTTTTGTTGATTGTTGATAGTATATGGCTAGAGCGATTCTGAAACTGTTGCAGATGAGTAAATATGTTGATGTTAGAAACTAGGGGTCTCACTGTAGAAGGAATACAAATATGGAATGGGGGAGACGAGCAGGAACCCTGTGGTGCTGGATCTTACCTGTATCTGTCTGTACACATGGGTCACCATGTGTCAGAATCCCCTCCACAGAAGGTAACAGCAGCAACAAATACCTGTCTATGAACAGGTGGCAGACAGGTCAAGAGCCTGGAAGTACTGACACTGTGGGGATAGTGAGCACAGCCAGTGCCCCGATCCTGGTGTCTAAATACCACTTTCCACTAAAAACAACCAGGATTCCTTGGGAATGTCTGATTCCAGGTTGGGACAAGGAAAGAGCAAGGAGTACCTGGGACATCTTGTCCTAGGAAGTAAAAAAGTATTCAAAAAAATATGGGGACATGTTCTGGCTACCTAGCACTGCTCGGACAGGAATATACCACAAATGGGATGACTTTATCAAACAGGAATTTATTCTTACAATTTGGAGGCTTTAAGTCTGAGTTCAAAGTGCCAGGCTCTCGGGGCTGTGTGAAAGCCCCTCGACCTTGGGCTTCAGCTCTGCCTCTTGCTCCCGGCCCACTTAAGCTAGAGGCATCTCTTTACTCAGGCAGCTACTGGCTGCTGAGGCTAACAAGCCCAAGGTCGACAAATAAAATGGCACAGTCCTGATGTTACCAAACCACATGGCAGGCTATTAATTCAAGTCTATTGAAAGTCCCAAGGTCGCAGAGCATAGCAGGCTGCTGAACAATGACACGGCTACACGAAGGGTTCAAGGGTGCCATGTGCTAGAGACCGTTCCCAAAGCTGCTGCTTATATACGGGAAGCAGACCATATCCCTAAAGTACTTGTGGTAGATCTCACCATGGAGTTAATTGCCAGTCTCATCATGAGGAATAACTACCACCAGCTGCCCAGCCACTCAGCCGGGCCCAGCCAAGTTGACACACAACTTTAACTACCACAGGACATGTTGAAAAAACAGAGGCAACATAACGGGGTTTCGACTGGCTAAATCTGGGAAAGAATTGCACATCAAAACGATGATGGTGATGAACAATAAGACAGCAGCTAGAAAAGGAACCCATACATCTATGTTGATACAAATCAGAAAATTGGAGGAAGAGCAAAGGCTTGTTGACAGTGGCAGGCCAAGTCTTCAAATGGAATGACAGAGTTGGAAAGCACCACAAGTAGCAGGTGATTCAGGTCAGAAGCATGAGCGGATCCCAAAACCACCGGGCTAATGCCTGTGGGGGAGCAGGACACTCACACAGTCTCAAAGTGTGTCCCACAGATAGATTAACTACAGAGGAGAAATGGTACCGTTCAAGGGAGAAATCACAGGGCATGGCAGCAACAATGGGACAAAATGCCATCGTGTTGAGAGGAGGCCAGACTATCGCTTAGGTAGGATTCCTTCCAAGAATACGTAGCCTGAATCTAATCGGGGAAAAAAAAAAAAAAATCAGACAACCCCAAATTTAGGGCCATTCTACAGATTAACTGGCTTGGATGCTTCAAAATAACATGAAAGACAAAAGTAGACTGAGTGATTGTTTGAGATTAAGGGAGACTAACGAGCTCTGGTGGCATAGTGCCTAAGGTACTTGACTGCTAACCAGAAGGCTGACGGTTCAAATCCACCAGCCACTCCTCGGAAGGAAGATGGGGCAATATACTTCCGTAGTGATAGTGCCTTGGAAACCCAAGGAGGGGTCAATATGAGTCGGGTCCAACTCGACAGTACATAACAACAACAACAACGAGATACAGGAAGTGAATGCAGGACACAGGCCTGGATTGAGTCCTGCTTTGGGGAGGAAAAGTGCTTTAAAGGACATTTTTGGGCCAATTTGCAAACTTTGAAAATGGATAGGATCTTAGATAGTAGTCCTGTATCCGTGTGAAATTCCGAAATTCAGTAATTGTATGTGGTTATATAAGGATCTCCTTGTTCTTAGCAAGCTGAGCAAGCTAGGTGTGAGAGTCAGGAGCTGTACCATTCACCCTCAACTGGTTCTAAACAACCTTATGTACATGTATATGTATATGTATCTCTTCATTCCCTGGTGTCTTTGTCTCCTCTTGCCACTATCTGGCTGATTTCTTTCCCAGAGTTTCCCAGTTCAAATTCCTGAGAGAGACAGAGAGAGAGAGAGCATGTTTGGGCAGGATTCTCTCCATCTCTCTTTGGACAGAGCCCTCGACACTAGAAAGACCTCACAGGTCTCTAACTAGCCTCCAGATGGGCTGCCAGGATCAGGTGCCTACCCCTTGTCCAATCAGCTCTGACCCAGAATGGGTCATGTGATACATAATATGGCTGCCTCCACTGCTCCCTCAGTGGGTACAGTGAGCAAGAGGGTCACCCTTTAGAGGGGCCAAGCAGGCCTCCCGTTTGGCCAGGTCAGCATACTCTGTATCAAGGGCCTCTGCTCTAACTTCGTGCTTCTTCCTGGCTGTCCCTCAGTACAGACACTTGCTCTGGCCCAGGTCTTGTGCTGGGCAGTGGGGACATGGAATTGACCCACACCTTACCCTCAGGCCAAACCAAACAGAAACCCAGTGGGAGTCGCAGTGAGTCGGAATGGACTTGATGGCAGCGAGTTTGGTTTTGGGTTTGGACTTTACCCTCAGAAGCTGTGCCTGAAGTTGGAGAGACAGTAATAACACAGAAAACTGGAAAGCAGGTGTGAATTGAGATCACTAAACAGAAGGCCGTGAACACCGCTTGAGCCCCGAGCCCCACACTGTGGGGACACAGAGGCAGAGCATAAAAGCCCTGCTGGATGGTAGCACTGACTGCCATCACGGCTCATGGGAGGGAAAAGAGGCCCTCCCTCAGATAGGGACCCTGCTGTGGAAGGGTGCCCAGTGCCACCCCTGGGGTTTCTTTTCTCCCTGCACAGCCGGACCCCGCAGGCCGAGACATCTCCATTCGCCCTCTCCTGGAGCACTGTGAGAACACCCACATGACCATCTGGCTGGGCATCGTCTATGCCTACAAGGGCCTTCTCATGGTAGGTGCAGAGTGGGAAGAAGTGGGGGGCCACTTCTCTGTCAGGGCTCTCTCCTCCAGGGGCTTCTGTCAACACAAAAATAAAGAGTGCCCGTGACAAAGCACTTAGCTATGCCAGGCCCACTGCCTGCTGCGTATCTGTTTCCACCACTCTCTGCAACAGAAGATCGACCTCTGTTCCACTGACAAGGACACTAAGGCTTGGTATCTTGCCCAAGGCCACTCAACTACTAGGTAACAGAGCAAAATCTTAACCCAAGAGTAAGCCCAGAACCTGTGAGTGTTGCTTACTACTGCCACTGTGCCACTCCTGGGACCACCCAGCACATGTTCACATCCAGCATTTTATTGGACTCTTTCGAAGTCCATGGGAGGTGAGTGGACTCAGCCCCATTCTAGAGATGAGGAAAGTAAGGTTCAGAGAACCCCATGCACAAGGGCACAAAGGTGCCTGCTCCTCCGCCCTCCTGGTGATCAGCTGCCAATCAGATTGTTGAGTTCCATGGGGTTTTCACTGCTTGACTGGCTGGAGGCCGATGGCCAGGCCTCTCTGGAAGCTCTGCTGAAACCTTTTCAGATCATAGCAAGACCCATTCAGATCATAGCAAGACCTAAGCCTCCCCTGACAGACGGGTGGGGGCTACATGAGGTTGGCTGGCTGGGTATCACACGTGGGTCTCCTGCATGGAGGCGAGAATCCTACCTCAGAACCCACCACTGCCTCACCATCCCACTCCACCATCTACTGAAATCACAAGCCAAGCCCACCTAACACAGCTGTGGAGATTCAGAGTTAGGAAGTCTTGAAAGGTCAGCCCTACCCTCTCATATCCCTGGTTGCTCCTTGAATCTTCTCCCTTACATCCCGGACACATGATCCCTCCACTTAAATCCAGGAAGGGCAGGCAGCTCGCCACTGCACCCTCTTCAGATTTTTCCATAGGAAAGTTAGGCCACCATCTGCCCCTGTGTGGCCTCCACATAGAGGCCAAGAATGAGCTCTTCTCCAAAAGTCAAATCCATTGCAATTTCTTGTGCTGCTAAAATGCATTCTTCCTTGCTGCTGCTTGATCCCGTACCCTTCAAGAAGCCATCCCAGAATAGCATGTGTTGGGGGACCTTAGTAAAGACTGCCCCCCACTTTGTATCCATAGGCTCACCAGATTGGCTGCCATCAGGGCCCCAAGAGATAATGACCCTGGAGGTGTCCACAGGAGGAATCCCAAGTGGAAGTGGGACCTGTGGAACTGATCAAAGGTTCTGGGATTGGAGAAGGACAGACTCAGGGGACATGGCCACCAGAAACTCAGAGCTGTCAGAGCCAGATGGAACAGACCTGAGGGCAAAATGGTGACCACAGGCAAGGTTGTGGGAGGGCAGACCTCAACTCCATGTAAAGAAGGATTTGTAGACTGGCGCACCCCTGGGAAGGAAAGAGCTCCCTGTCATGGGAAGTGTCCTGTGTTGATGGCCTGCGTTTCAGTGTCCCTGGCCCTTGTTGAGTATCCCAGAGAATGAAACTAGATGCTCCCTACGGTCTCTTCCAGCCTCAATGCTCCTTGATTCTGAGAGTCCATGAAATTAGATTCTGGTGAATCATATCAGCATCTTTCAAACTTACTTACGTCTTGTCTGTAATGTTTTGATTATTCACTCTCTTCCCCAGCCTCCTGCTTGCAAATGTGTTTGGAGATGACTGTATCTCTCCCAGTGAAGTGAAAACCTTCAGCCAGATCATGTCAATAAAAGCTATAGTTGACAGCACAAGAGCTCTACCATTTGTAATGTACACGAGGCGCTGTTCACAGCCCTCCAGGCATGTAGGGCTTATTAGTGAACTGGTTGAATTCAGGCTCTGAAACTGGGATCCCCCTCCACAGACCCTTCTGCTCTGAAGCCACAGGATCTCAGGGCTGCAAAGGGCACACACAGCCCTGTAGGCCCACCCACCCCTGTCAGATGTTTCAGCTCCCCACCTCACCCTGAGCATCCCCAACAAGCGACAATGTACTAACTGCTTCCCCACGTCCAGTGACGGTGCACTCACCCCCCATGCCATCCATAAATGGTGTCTTTGTTTTCTGTGGCTGCTGTAATAAATAACCACAAACCAGGTGGCTTACAACAACAGGAATGCATTCTCTCCATTGAATCAGGGTGTCCCTGGGGTCGCACTCCCCCCAGAAGCTCTAGGAAAGAAGTCTTCCTGGCCTCTCCCAGCTTGGTGGCTCCAGGTGTTCCTTGACTTGTGGCTGCACCCCTCCAGTCTCTGCCTGTGTCTCACATGGCTCCTTCTCTGGGTCTGTGTCTTCTCCCATCTCACATAAGGCCGCCTGTGACTCCATTTAGGGCCCACCTGGATAGTCCAGGATGAACTTGTCTTGGGATCATTAACTCAGTTACATTAGGCAGACACTCTCCCAGCAAGGCCACATTCACAGGTCCAGTAGATTAGGTTGTGGCCTTATCTTTTGAGGGCCACCATTCAGCCCACTCGGGGTAAGTTGCCTTTTCAGAAAGTTCTTCCCAACCCGCATCTGAAGATTTCCCGATATGGATTGTGCATTCTAACTCTCAGGCTGTCCCAGTCCCCCTTTGCCACCCCATTGCAGCGCAGCCTTGGGCAAGCCCCTTTCTCCTCTCAGGGCCAGTGAGGGGAGGTCTCGATCATGCTGGAAGTATCTTCCCATGATGGCCTCCTGTGGTCTGTAAGTGGTCCAGTTGGGGGAGTGATGGAGAACCAGACAGCTGTAGGCCACCTCATCTGCATTTCCTCTGTGGAGACAGATGGTAGCATCCAGAAGACCCTGCAGACGGCAGAACACCCTGCCTCCCGCACCCCTACCCCCCACTTCCTGAGGACCCCTCAGTTGGGCAGCTTCTCAGAGCAGGGAGCACGTGCTGCCACTTGGTAACGACCATCTCCCCTTTCTGTTCACCATTTCAGTTGTTCGGTTGTTTCTTAGCTTGGGAGACCCGCAACGTCAGCATCCCTGCACTCAATGACAGCAAGTATATCGGGATGAGCGTCTACAACGTGGGCATCATGTGCATCATCGGGGCCGCCGTCTCCTTCCTGACCCGGGACCAGCCCAACGTGCAGTTCTGCATCGTGGCCCTGGTCATCATCTTCTGCAGCACCATCACCCTCTGCCTGGTGTTTGTGCCCAAGGTACCCTGCCACCCCGGCCGCGGAGTCCCTCATACGCAGGGTGCTAGCTCTGCCCTGCCTTCTGAATTTTTCACTCATTATTTCCTTTTATAATAAAAACAACCCATATTATGAAAAGTTTGGGAAAAGCAGAAACTAAGTGTTTCAGTAAACTTTCAGGGACTTCCATAGTCCCACCCCCTCCAAAGAATCACTGTTAATATTTTCACGTTTCCTTCCAGTCTTTCTTCTTTTTCCCTCTTTAATGGCGAAGAGGTGATGCTTTTTATGATAACAGTACAAGTCACATACGACTTCGTATTCGGCCTCGTTCCCTTTGGTTTCTTTTCCCTCTTGGTGTTCTCCTACATTCATAATCACCATTGAGGGGCAGCTCCATCATCTCCTTGACCCTTGATCGCTTACTCGTGAACATTACAGTGGTTCCAGTTTTTTACTATTAAAATGAACTTTTTTTCCGCACAACACATTTTTCTTATTTCTGATTATTCCCTTAGGCTAGAGTTGCAGAAGTAGTATTTTGGGTGAAAAGAAATGGCCGTTTTTAACAACCACTTCCATTTTAAATTCATCTGAAGGGCTGACCTTCAGGACCACCCTGGAGAGAGAAGTTTTCATTCTCCTGCCCTTCAGCGGGCAAGTGGGCCAGGGGCCTTGACTTCTTAGGAGCCCGCTGCTGGTCTGTGTAGAGAGAAGCCCAGCCTGGGTAGAGCTCAAACTTAAGAAAGGTTAGACCCTAAAACAGAAATTACCATTAGAGGAAAGCCTGTGTGATCCAAATGGAGTCTGAACTAGTTAGTGTCACAATGGCACCAGTGTCAGTACCTTAGTTTTGACAGCAGTGCCATGGTTGTGTCGATTCTGTCACTATGTAAGATCTTCTCATTAGGGGAAGCTGGATGGCAGGAACTCGCTGTACTATCTTTGCAACTTTTCTGTAAATCTAAAATTATTCCAGAAAAAAAGATTATTTTTAGAGGAAAAACATTTAAGGAAGAAGCATGGAGCTGAGAGTCAGGAAGGAGTTATTGACCCAAGTGGGAGATCACTCAGGGTTCATTGTCCCCTGACAGGCAGCCCTTGGAACCTCTGTCTTCCTGGCACCTAATCAGTGCCCAGGCTGCCAGCTCTGCCCTCAGAACACCTGTGCTGTGTACTCTTTCCTTCTCCTGGCTGTCGCGCCTGCCCAGGCTCCAGGCCAGCACTTCTGATTCTGCTCTGACCTTCTCTCTAGCCTGTCTAAGATGCTGGAGGACTCTCTAAGCCCAGCTCCTATCCCATCACTCCCCAGCTTTGTCATCTCAGGAGCTCCTATTGCACTCCTGCCTCCGGGATCATAGCCCCTGATGTTAAGCAGGCTTTGAAGACCCTTAGGTTTCTTCCAGTCTCCCTAGACAGCCCCATATGCCAGCCAACTTCCCTTTTCCATAAGTGTCCTGAGGGCTGGGAATTCCCCTCACCTATCCAAAGTCTCTCTGTCCTTCCAGACCCTCCCCAGACCCCACCGAGGCCCACAGCACCATGCTTGCAGCTCTCTTCAGCCCTGGATGCCCATGGCCTGCTGCAGATCTGAGTCCTCCCTCATCCCCACCCCACTGCCCCAGATCATGAGGTCCTCATGGGAAGGGACCATGGCTCATTCGGTCCCTCTCTCAGTTTTAAGCCCAGAGCCTATCTTGAACGCAGACATGCTTCTTAAATAAATGAGTAAGAGCAGGGGCAAGTACTAACCTTTTCTAGAAAAAAAAAAAATTGCTGTGTCGGTAACAGTAAGTTCCATCCTGTCTCCAAAGCTCATCAGTGGTTCTCACAGCAGAGGCCTTCCCTGTCCTCTGTCCCATTGTCTTCACCACTGCCATCCTCAGGGTTGATTTCCACATGGAGCAAGACCTAAGGCAGAGTGAGGCCCTGCTGGAGCTAGACCTAACGAGCCCTGGGTGGTCTGTGCCAGATGGCTGGGATGCAGGCAGAAGAAGGGACAGAGACTGACTGGCCTTTTCCCAGCAAGTGAAGAAGCAGACTCGGCTAGGGGAGGGGGCCACTGGTCTAAGGGCACACACAGTGCATGGCAGTGCCAGGCCTAGCCCAGGGCTCCTGACTCCCAGCCTGTGTCCTTCCTGGGGCCCCATGTTGTCCCTATGCAGAACCTGCTGGTCCGACTGCAGTGGGGGTGGGAGGAAGGAGCCCCGAGCTCCTTTCAACCCCACCTCTGTCCTTTCATTCAGCTCATCACTCTGAGGACAAACCCAGACGCAGCCACTCAGAACAGACGATTCCAGTTCACTCAGAATCAGAAGAAAGAAGATTCTAAAACCTCCACCTCGGTCACCAGTGTGAACCAAGCAAGCACGTCCCGCCTAGAGGGCCTGCAGTCGGAAAACCATCGGCTGCGGATGAAGATCACAGAGGTACCTCCTGCAGCATCTGCCTGCCAAGGGCCACCTTCTCCCACAGGAGTCCCTTTGATCCACATGGGGACTCTCAGGGCTGCTCTGCCCACGGCCCCTCTGGCACACCTTGCATCAGGGACACAGAGTACCGTCTGCTGCCGTTGTGACTGCAGGAACCAGCGGTGACAGAGAAAGGCAGTCACACAGAATCCAGCGAGCTCTTACTGTCCACCTGGCCCCAGCTCTTGGTGTTCACCAATGCCCCGATTCAAGTGTCCTCAGAAGGAAGGACAGTCATAGACATTTGTGAGCTCCCAGATTACAGGGGCTTCCTGGCCTGTCTTCCCTCTCTCTCCCTCTCTCTCTCCCTCTCTCTCCCTCTCTC